GCCCTGGCTCACCCCGTTCCCTCTCCCCAGGGCTCTGGGGGCTGGTGAACAACGCAGGAATCGCTGTTCCCACCGCCCCCAACGAGTGGCTGACCAAGGACGACTTCGTCAAGGTGCTGGATGTCAACCTCCTCGGCCTCATCGAGGTGACGCTGAGCCTCCTGCCCCTGGTGAAGCGAGCACAGGGCCGGGTGGTCAACGTGGCCAGTGTGATGGGCCGGCTCGCTGCCTTTGGTGGGGGTTACTGCATCTCCAAGTTCGGCGTGGAGGCCTTCTCCGACAGTCTCCGGTAAGTCCGGCACAGCAGTCACCGCCCTGGTTTATCAGTTTGCTCTTCCAGTTTTTGGCTGGCAGAGCCTCCGTCGGTCAAACCCCTTCCTCCTGCAACCGCAAGCAAGCGCAGTCGGAGTTCGTTTTAGCTGCTGCCGAATCATGAGAGGAGGGGCTGTGGGGATGATTAACGTGTGGACCAGACGTCAGGACACCTTGTGCCACAGCTCCTGGTCCCATGGGAGCAATTTCCTGCCTGGGAGGACTCTCGCGTGGCGCTGGCATCCTCTGCTTTCAGCTGAGCTCGCGAAGAGGCAGCCCTGGGAGAAGGGAAGGCAAAGACTTGGCAGAGCTTTGAGTTCATTCCTTTGCCCGGTGGCTTCCCAGCAGCAGGGAGGCAGTGGCCACGCTGGCTGGCACTGCCTGCCCCGGCACTAAGCCTTCCCCATTGGACCTTGCCCCTTTAATGGATCCTGCAGGCAATGGTCCTGCAGTCCTAAGGTTTGCTTTGGCCCCATCCCATCCAGAGTCAGCAGATGGTTATTTACCTGCTGCCTCGGACACGTGCTGGGGCTGGCGCGGGGTCTGCTGGGGTGGTCAGGCTCCCCACTGCGCCTCTGGCACGAGGCTGCCGCATATCCCACGCAAGATACACGTGCAGCCCGTGCCGGTGAGCAGCAGACACACCTGGGTGCTGCTCCTGCGTCCCATGGGGCTCTGTCCCTTCTAGGGTTGAGATGCACAGCTTCGGGGTGAAGGTCAGCATGATCGAGCCAGGCTATTTCAAGACAGTGATCACCAATGCTGAGAACCTGGAGAAGAACTTTCTTTCCCTCTGGGAGAAGCTCCCAGAGGAAATGAAAGCGAGTTATGGGGAGAATTACGTGAAGGAGTGTAAGTACCTCACATCCCGGCTTCCGCCCTGGGATGATTGAAGAGAGGCTCAGCGATGCTGTTCCTCTCTTGACACAAGGCCTGTCCCACCGCCCGGTCATCTCACCGAGCCCATCGGCTGCATTCGGCTCAGGGGTCTAATCCCAGCAGCCTGACTGGCGCTTTCTGCCCCCGCAGTTTCGGTGGTGCTCAGGAAGATGCTGAATAAAAGCAACCCCAACCTGACGCTGGTCACGGACTGCATGGAGCACGCGCTGACCAGCCGCTTCCCACGCACCCGCTACTCCGCCGGCTGGGACGCCAAGCTGCTCTACATCCCCCTCAGCTACCTGCCGTCAGCCCTCACGGACGCGGTCCTCACCTGGTGCTACCCTAAACCCGCCTGGAGAGCCTCAGGCAGGGCCGCGGCGTAGGCAGTGCAGGGTGGGATCCAGCCTCGCCTGCAGCCAAGCCCGTGCCCGTAGATTCCTGAATTTCTAACTCAATGTACATCTCACAACCCGCTGTCCTCTGCCAGCAGACCGGTTTGCTTCTGAATAAAGACAACTCCTCCCTGCCTGGCAGGCCTTGGTTTCTGCCTCAGCCAGGGTTGGGGCACCGAGGCTGTGTCCCTGCTCCTACTGCAGCAGCTCCCGGGGTCTCCGGCCAGTCCCCCGCGTGCC